CTGTTTCTTTGTATTTTATTGGAAACTGTACACATTATAAGTTTCCTCTTTTCAATACTTCATTTATATCTACACTTTAGAAATAACGTAGATTTTCTCCGTGGGTTAAAAATTTGAAATTTCCTTCTAATATTATCGGTGTCGTTTATAGAAAAAGTCAGTGTCATTCATAAAAAAAAAAAAACGTAAAAATAAAAATGAAGAATGATAATCATTTCCTTGATAAAGTTTTTCTTGAAGAAATTATACAATACTGTTCTAAAGCCCGATTCATTACCACCAGGGAAGTATTGATCAGGCTGTTACATCTATGTAACATTAGAATCTATGCTCTAGTTACTGTTAATTAAAATCTTGATCAAACTGTGTTAACACATTAGTAGCCACTGACGTATTACGTTTTCTCAAATGGGGCCATTTAGAGGGAGGGAAAATTTTTTACATTTATTTCAATTAATTCTTCTTAAGTCTTCCTCGAAGTTGATTTTTAATTTCAAATTTTTATTATTCTCTTTTTTGTTTTTTTAGCAACAGATATTTCAGGATAATTCAAAACAAATCCTTGTATTAGATTAACAACAAATGATTCTTTAAATTCCTTTCATGTTAATCGTGGAACTTCGTGATTATCTGTCCACAATTTAAAGTCGCAAATGTGTTGACAGATTGCATTGTTTTATAGAAATCGATATACAAACCTACTACAACATGTACTTAGCGTTATCGCTATAAGTGTTTCCTTCAAATCTCTTTACAACACGCTTTCAAAGAAAAATTTATAGAAACTCCTGGTTTAAAATATTCACTTCGTTGCAATATATTTTTTCTTGCGAAAAAAATAATGTCGGAATTCTATTCCCAAAATCTTTCCTTACGACAAATAGCCTACGAATTTAGATTGAGTTCTTCTGATTTTCAACTATTGTGCATCGTCCTCAATTTTTCCGAAGTTTTCCCATGGTAAATCAAGTAGTCATCGTTTAAATTTATTTTTATTCCCAACGAGCGATTGAAAAAATAGACATGGCCACGATGGAACTGTGAGACATCGCAGTCGCGGTTCACGAGGACGGACCGAAAATTCGAGCTTAATCGACGCGGTTCGATCGGCGTGCGATTCACATTTAATCGTTCGTAAATTACATATCGACCTGGCGGTGATCGATACGGCTATTATTCTGGGCGCGCAGGCTTTCTTCCCGTGGAGAAAATTTCGATCGCCGCGTGAGTTCTCACCGAGCGATCGTTGACCTGACCTACCACCCGACCCTCCGAATGAACTTTACGAGCAACCGGCTGCTTGATAACCGATTAAAGGACGCGTTTGCCATGAGTCAAGAAGACTTCTTCGATTGCATCGTCGACGATAATTGGAGATTGGCTCGCGACCTAGCTACTTGATCCGTTGCTAGGCCGTTTGATGTGGCGGATTCGACTCCGACCTCCCTTCGTTTCTTCTGTCAGACGAATCCCATTGGCAATGACGGTAGAACTGATTTTACAATGTGCCTGGCCGCGCGTACGATCGGTCAGCGATTTCCTCTTGATGGAAGAACTATTTCAGAGCAAAGGAATAAATATCGTACAATGACAGGTCGGTTTAATATGATTCACGATATCGTGAAAGGGAGGATTGTTACGTTAATATTTGAAAAGCTAAGATATTTATATTTATCTATTGAACTGTTTTAAGTTTAGCAGGGGAGGAATGAAAAATATCCTATTTAGAATATATTGGCAGATTTTTCTTTAAAATTTAAATATTTGTAGGTTGCTCTTTTGAAATTCAATTTCAGAACAAAGGAACAAGCATTTTATGGTTATAAAGATAATATAAAGATTGAAATATGTTTTTAAATATATAGCTCCATTAAAACTTGATTGAACATTCTTTTGAATGAAGAAGGTTCCAATAATATAGTGTGATTATTAATACTCTACGAATCAGTAGTTTAAGTAAACTATGATCAGACAAGAGTTAAATGATATATGCTACGTGAAACAATTCTGTAGGGCATTTTATTTTAAATAATAGATACGTAAATATTATACAATAGGAATGTTCCAATTTTTGTAATATTTTCGGTATCCAAATAAAAGTTTAGTTAATTTAGAAAAAGTGACTGCGATACTTGGAAACTAAACTCTCGTGCAACGAACAAGGTAACAATAGCAACAACGAACGAAAGAAGAGAGGAGATGAGGGACTCCTAATTTCGTCACAAGTTCAATAAACGTGTCCTTGTACAGAATGCGTTTACAATGAATTTATAGAGATTAACTACAACTAAACGCACGCATCCAACGACGTCCCAGCGAGACCAATGTCCCAAGGTGCCCCGCTGGGGAGTCTAATATTTTATTAACTAATTGTCCCTAGTTTAGAGCTAAACTGAACTGTACGTTGCTTAGTTCTTAGCTTGATATCGTTTTACGAACATTGAAGTTTATCGTTTATAGTTTTACAATTTAGCTCGATGACGTTTTACAAGCTTTAATGTTTCTAAAACGATATCGATTACCAGGTCTCACCACGAGGAGGTGACTACGCACGAGACCCACCCCGGGGCTTACAATACGTACCATTCATACATACAATCATACAAAACATAAAATGCATACGATACATACAATACATACAATACGTACAATGCATACAATTATACAACACATGCAACAATTCGCAGCCCTACCACCGCATTCTGTACAAAGACACGTTTATTGTTTCGCAGTCAGTGTGGCAAACTTGGAAATTCGACTCCAGTGTCGAGCGAACAAAGTAGCAATAGCAATCGAGGTTCGAGCATTT